ATATATATATATATATATATATATATATATTGTATGTGGAAATGACCTGCAAAAAAAGAACCTGATGAATTGGTAAACATTCTTCGGAAAAATGTAAACTTCTTTTGATTCCAATAATATTTTGATTTTATAAGTGGTTTATGTAGGAAAATTGTTTGTTTGCCAAAGAATTAAGCAAAAACAGGTATATTTTTACTGACCAATGAACTTATAAAAGCCTGTGTTTTTATGCTACAGTCTGTTTGTTAACTTTTTGTTAAATTATGGACTTGGGAGGCCTGTGGCGACCAACTTTCTCAATTGTTAACACTTTCAGAGTTTTTTTGAGTGCTTAGTTTCATCAAATGCATAAATTGTGGCGACAAACTTCTCAATTGTTAACACTTTCGGAGTTTTTTTGAGTGCTTAGTTTCATCAAATGGATTTATTGCTGTTTTTTATGTTAAATTTACACATAAGGCTACTAGAGGGCTATCTGCACTAGCCATGTGTATGTGTCAGTTAAAGTCAAGTGAAACATTGTCTGTCATGTCTACACCATGTTACTAATAATATATGTGAAAGTAATTTAATGCCTTTTATATAAAAATAGAGTTTTGACTCTTTCACGGGTTAAAGTTAGAGTTTTTGACTCTTTCACGGGTTAAAGTTAGAGTTTTTGACTCTTTCACGGGTTAAAGTTAGAGTTTTGACTCTTGCACGGGTTAAAGTTAGAGTTTTGACTCTTTCATGGGTTAAAGTATTGATAAAAATTATTCTAAAAAGTAAAGGCTTGGTGGCGGCCAGTTGCTTTCAGCAAACAATAATAATCTAAAACACTATTTTTTATTAGTTGATTGTTTTAATGACAATCGCTATAATTGTAATTTCATTTTATTGATTTAATCTGAATTTCTATTAATCAATTAGTGTAAGTGGCATTAGTTGATGTAATCACTGCTTATAGGTAAATGATTTTATCAGTTGATCAATCAAATCACTATACTCTTTACAAGTGTAAAATAGTACTGGAAAATTTGAAAAACTATAAGATCCTTAGTGTTCGGGGATAATAGAAAAACATCTACACATTTAATAAAGTCTAACAGAAAAATCAAGTTTAACCTTTTCCTTAAAAAATGTGGAATGAATCTTGAAAGTTGTAGCTCTGTAGAGAATCTGTTAGGGCCTTTCAACTGGTATTATATTTGGCAGACTGTGGTACTCATTTTCATTCATTATTATTTATCTTTAGCCACTCTCGATGTCATTTTATAATGTGTAGGTGCTTTATTTATGTCTGTAATAAATGTTATGGTTCCTCCATACTGTTTTGCTAATAGTTTGTCGACTGGTCCAATTTGTTATATTTTTCAAATAAGGTAACTCGGGTGTTGTTTCCCAAAAACTTGTGTGTGTTCTGTAAGGCAGTGAGCTGTTAACGTGTAACTTCTGTGATTTATTGGCTTTGTTGTTTTACTCTATTTCTGTTTTATACAACATTGTTATGGTTTATAAGTTATGACATTTAATTCCAATATGTGTGGCATGAGAACTGTAGATTGAACAATCTTGTTACATTTTACATATTTTGTCTGATGTTCCAAACTTCTTTTTTTTTGGCCTTGTTGTGGCTACAATGAACATTTAACAAATTGTTTTTTTCAGACTTCTTCCTCCTCCTGTGTTGTGGGCACAAAGAAAGCACCTTTTGTATCTCATGATAGCTCTAGAAGATTGTAAAAGCCCAACAATCAAATTAGAAAATGATAAACTTTATTTCAGGTAGGTGTTTATCAGTTTCATCAAGGAATTCTCTGATATTTGATTTTGTTAAATATGAAAAACAATTTCTGTGTGATTATTTATACACTGTTCTTCAGAAATTATATTTACCTCTCAGCACTACCAACAGCTGTTAGTTTACATATAACTGCAGTGGAATTTCCTGCTCGTGTCACTAGCCTTGAACAAACTCCCACCCTATGTATATGACACTAGTCTATGTTATAATACTCTAGCCCTCCACCAGTGGAAGGTGACACAACCTCCATGTAACCCTCCACCAGTGGAAGGTGACACAACCTCTGTGTAACCCTCCACCAGTAGGAAGGTGACACAACCTCCATGTAACCCTCCACCAGTGGAAGGTGACACAACTTCTGTGTAACCCTCCACCAGTGGAAGGTGACACAACCTCCATGTAACCCTCCACCAGTAGGAAGGTGACACAACCTCCATGTGGCCCTCCACCAGTAGGAAGGTGACACAACCTCCATGTGGCCCTCCACCAGTAGGAAGGTGACACAACCTCCGTGTAACCCTCCACCAGTAGGAAGGTGACACAACCTCCGTGTAACCCTCCACCAGTAGGAAGTTGACACAACCACAGTAATCCCTGTTAGCCCATGATCATTCTTTCTTTACTACTGCCTACATTTGGACATGTTTTCACCTGTGCTTTACAAGTTTCTAGTTGCCTTGATTGATGGCCTTTTTTTTTCATGCTACTGTACTATTATACTTGTTTCACTTTCATACCATCCACATAATTCAATTTCAAGTTTCTAGTTGCCTTGATTGATGGCCTTTTTTTCATGCTACCGTACTATTATCCTTGTTTCACTTTCATACCATCCACATAATTCAATTTCAAGTTTCTAGTTGCCTTGATTGATGGCCTTTTTTTATGCTACCGTACTATTATCCTTTGTTTCACTTTCATACCATCCACATGATTCAGCTTCAAGTTTCTAGTTGCCTTAATTGATGGCTTTTTTTATGCAAAGAATATTTTTGAAAATAAATGTTTTATTTGATTTGTTGTAATTTCTCTCTCGTTAAAGATACTGGTTGTGGCTGAAATTTTAATATAAATTTCCTTGTGAACAATCACTGAGAAGTGTGAACCAGGTGATATGAATGGCTGTTAAGAAATGTTAATCAGATCATATAAATGACCACTAAGAAGTGTCAGTCATGTCATATGAATGGCCACTAAGAAGAAGTGTCAGTGAAGCTGTATGAGTGACCACTAGGAAGTGTCAGTCAAGTCATATGAATGACCACTAAGGAGTGTCAGTAAAGCCATATGAGTGACCACTAAGAAGAGTCAGTCATGTCATATGAATGACAACTAAGAAGAGTCAGTGAAGCCATATGAGTGACCACTTAGGAGTGTCAGTCAAGCCGTATGAGTGACCACTAAGAAGTGTCAGTCAAGCCGTATGAGTGACCACTAAGAAGTGTAAGCCAGATCATATGAATGACCACTAAGAAGAGGCAGTTAAATCATATGAATGACCATTAAAAAAGCGTCAATCAGACCATAAAAGTGACCACTAACAAGTTTGATAATATAGTGATATTTTCCCTTGGACTAAAGGGAAATATTTTTATGATGGACCAACTGTTCTTGATTATTTCTTAGTATTAAAAAAAAATACAAAATGTGTAAAAATGTTCTACTAATATTTTATAAACAGTGAGAATCCAGAACTAAATTGTTATATAAATCAACTGACATTAATTTCTTTGCCTGTTTGTAAATTTATTTATTGTTTTTTTTTTTTCAGGGGAAAAGGAGGAGTAGAAAACAAAGAACATGAAGTTACTCTAAAGTTTTTAGAGGAAATAAAACCAGAGGTAAAGTTAAACTAGTGTTTTGAATAACATCCTTAAAATGTGGCATGTGTTAGGTAATATTTTTATGATTCTGAGTATTTCTTCAAGAGCCTGTTATTGTCCTTTTAAGCAGTCCCAGTAATTAGTAAACAGTCAAGATAATCCTTAAAACTTCATGTACTTGTAGAATATGAGCATGCTGTATTGGATTACAAAACACTTCAACAAACATGCTTTAAATATTTGTTGATCTACAGTGTATTGCATTTGTCATTAGTTTGGTAGAATTACTGCTGGACCACATTAACTAATTAAACACTTCTTTAAACCATTTAACCATCAAATTGTGTGTGAATTCATGATCATTGGTTACAGGATCTTTAATAACATGTTGGTTACAGGGTCCCTAATAACATATGCTGGTTACAGGGTCCCTAATAACATATGCTGGTTACAGGGTCCCTAATAACATATGCTGGTTACAGGGTCCCTAATAACATATGCTGGATACAGGGTTCCTAATAACATATGCAGAATACAGGGCCCAAAATAACATATGCTGGATACAGGGCCCAAAATAACATATGGTGGTTACAGGATCCATAATAACATAAAGTGCAAATCATACAAACAAATGTAAACAGAAATACTGTCAATATTTAATGTATTCCTACTAATTACTGTTGGTTGTATTTTACATATTTTGTTAAGTTCTTTATGCAGAGTGTTGTAACAGGTAAATATGTATAGTTACTAATATGTTATTAATGTTTTTTTTCCCTTCAGGAATCAAAGTATGCAGTACGAGGAAGAGGAATTGAATTTATCTTAATAAAAGTGAAAGAAGGCCGATATTGGAGTAGGCTGCTTAAAGATGAAAAAAAGGTGAGTGTTACAGTTATCCAAAATCTTACCAAACTATACCATTACAAGTTTATTATCAGTGTTAAAATATACTGTCTGTTCTAAAAAGTAAAGGTCAAAGAGCATTTAGAAATGTTATATTTATATTTGCATAATGTTTTATGTCTAGTAAGAAGTTTTTTGTTTTACATCTCCATGACATTTTATTTCTAACATGTATTTTATATATCACATTTGTATGACATTTTATTTCTAACATGTATTTTATATATCATATTTGTATGACATTTTATGTTTTACATTTGTATGACATTTTATTTCTAACATGTATTTTTTATATTACATTTGTATGACATTTTATGTTTTACATTTGTATGACATTTTATTTCTAACATGTATTTTATATTTCACATTTGTATGTTTTTTTATATTACATTTGTATGATATTTTATGTTTTATGTTTGTATGACATTGTTTTTAAAGAATAATTGTGTTTTAAAGAATAATTGTGTGTTAACGAATAATTGTGTTTAAAAGAATAATTGTGTGTTAACGAATAATTGTGT